TATGTGTATATTGTGCTGTACAGTTATGCATGTATATGCATATATATGTATATGTATATATATATATTTTTTTCTTATCTACTTTTGTAATATTAGTTAAGTTTGAATACATTGTACTATTTATGTTGTGTGTGGAGAAACCAATAAAAACAAACAAAACAAAACATTTTGCAAGATATATACAAAAATTTCTGTAATATTGGTAAAATATAGTGCTCAAAGGACTTAGTAGAAAAAATTAAAACAACCGTTGCTACTGTACATTACAGCCTCATCATTTTCTTCTTCTCATCTTTTAGTATACTTGCCCAGATGTACTCTATGCTATGGTGGTCAAATTCCTCTCTAAAATGGAATGTGTTGAAATTTTTCTGTAAAATGGAATGTGTTAATGTTCATTGTGAGTTTGAATTCCAACTATTCATCCAACTTATCAGGTATTTTGTAATTGGACCTACGTTTTGACAGTTGACCAATGGCTGATAGCAGCTTCTCCGATAATGGACTATGTTTATACTAATTTTGTGCAGTATACTTATGCTGCTATCAAAAGCCCATTCTTTTCTGTATTGATTGCATGGATAATAGAAATATGCACTACAGAAATGGAAGACTATTACCATGTAAATTATATGTACCAATCTACTATTAATGTAATATAAATTAAGGTTTTTTTTTTTTTATCTTAGCAATGACACTGACTTGCATTGTGCAACACAATCCTCTTGCAATCCATCAGGAACCATCAACCATTGAAAGTGAGCTGCTTTCACTTCGGCTGCTGCCAGCTTTATTTCCTCTTGTTGAAATCTGCAAAAAACTTAACATCATTAGGATACAATAGTATTTATAAGGCAGAAAAATACAGACTAGGCAATTAGCCCATACAGAACAAAAATATGATTAGGCCAAAAAAGTCAAGTTTTTTTTACACAATATGCTTAATGATTGGGTTCATGGCAAATCACACAACATATGCAATTGTTTTTTAAATTCAAGTCTTATCCTATATTTAAATCATTATACTTACAGATGGAATGGATGTTGGGCTGTATTTGTGATCTTGTGATCTTAAAAAGTCT